GGCAGACCAAGCAGGAGCGCCGGCCCCCCAGGGCCAAGGAGCCCTCACTGCTGCAGTTAAGCCAAGGCAGTGAGCTTTTGTAGGACTTGTCGCAAGTCGCAAGTCTGGAGTTTTACATGGCTAAATTTGTTGTTGTTGTTGTTGTTGTTGTTGTTGTTAAAGCTTAATTTTGTGTGGGCATGGGTTTCATGTGCACACCTTAGAGGGAAGCTACTTGGAAACACATTGGATGACACGTCCATAAGTCAGACATCATGTCCCAGAATAAAATGCTCCTGAAGTTTGGTCCCTGGATCAGAGCTGTCCTTGTAATCCATCAGATGTTCACTAGGATTTTTTTGCTGTGAGCTCTCAGGGCTCTACAATATTGCTGCTGTCCTCCCTGTCATTCAGCAAACACCTGCTTAGTTGGACCTTGTTTTACTGCTGATAACCCTGGAAGGAAGGAAGGAAGGAAGGAAGGAAGGAAGGAAGGAAGGAAGGAAGGAAGGAAGGAGCTCCAGTCACTCTCGGGTGGGCGCCAGGCTGGAGCAGACGGTCGCAGAGTTCCGGCCTGGGGTTGACTTACCTGGGAGGAATAAAGCAGCTCCTAGAACCCTTTTGGACTGGGGTGGGCACAGGCCAGGAGGAGGGTGGCATGTTGCTGCTGTTGTCGTTTACCTGATCTTGAACAGAGCGTTGCTCAGGCAAGGGCCTGATCATCAGTTCACGTAGGCAGGGCTACCACCCTTCTGTCAAAGGTGCATTTCTGTGGTGGTATGTGGCATGTGAAAAACCTTGGAATGGAGTTTCTGTTCACTGGTGTCAGGCAAAGGCATTATGGAAGAGCATTTTGTAGCCCCTCAACTTCATGCCATCTTTTACTGTTTGTGGCCCCTGCAGGAACAAATGGTGGTTTGGAATTTGGGATTGTTAGAGTTATGGATGAAGCTAAGCAGACATTATCAATGAAGAATAAAGGCAAATATGAGATTGCTTTCAGGTAAGTCCTGGCTATTCAGAAGATGCACTTTGTTTTGCCCTTTATTCCCTGCTTTGTTGCCATTAATTAAAGTTTTATACCTCAGTGAAAGCTTCAAGGATTCGTTTCTTGAATTCACCTCACCTGCACTTCTGTCCTGCATTCTAATGATCCCAGCAAACCCCTCCATTGTACACACTTTATTTAACTATTATTTGAGGAGTTTATTTTGGAATGTGTACATGCATGCTTTTAATCTGGAATGCTCCCATTGCAAGGGTGGGCCACATTTTAGTTGGAGAGACAAACTGGCTTCTGCAAAGCTCTTTGGGAGTTACACAAATTAACACATTAATTGGATGGATGGACAGACGGACGGACAGACAGTCAATTGAAATGATGAAGTTTGTCCACCACAAATGTTCCATCATCTTTTAAAGGAACAGATGCAAGGGATCATGGACTTTATAATGTATCTCACTGTGTCCTTATTCCCCAGCTTGGCTATTGAATCCACAGAACATGGGATGTCTAATCTGGGTCAGCTGTTCACCATCCAGCCCCAGAAGGGGAATTTGGGTCCCAACGATCGCCCTACTCAGATCCAGATCGCTTTTCATTCGAAGAAGGAAGTGAAAGTTGAAGACAAGCCTGTTTTGCAGTGCCATGTAAGACTGCTGGCCACAGCTGAGTCAGTTCGCATTAGAACTGACCAGATGGAAGCCAAACATTGGTCTGAATCTCATCTCTTCACTCTAGGTGATTGAGCCTACCCTTGGTGAAGGAGGGGAGGTCATTGCCACCATTCCCATCAGATTGTCAGTGCAGTCCTTATTCACCAAGTTCAGCATTGTCCCTCCTTCCCTCATCAACTTTGGGCCATTGGTGAATGGCTCCCGGAAGACCAGCAGTTTCACCATCGAGAACAAGGGGGCCCTGGATTTCAAGTTTACCATCTGCAAGCAAGTCCGCGATGCAGTGATTCCAGCAAAGAAAGGGTGAGCTTTCTCTTCAGGTGTCAGGGCTACTGGGTTCTGTGGGCCTGATTTGTTCTGTGACATGGAATCAGGTGCCGCTCAAAACAGAAAGGACCATATTTTCATACAGATGGAAGACAGTTTCTAAATATTTAACATTAGTGCCTGCAGCTTACTATAAACGTAGCAGGATCTTAGCCTCTCGGCACATCCACATCCTTACATGCGTTTGTTTATGGATATTTATTTATTGTAGTAAACAAAGTTCTCTGAGCAAGTTACAAAGTTATTTAACATATTAAAACTTTCTTAAAACAAAAAATGGCAATAAATAAATAAATACATAAATAAATAGCACAAGAAATAGATAAAATGTAAACATTCGTATGTAGAGCAGATATTTGAAAATGAAATCAATACAACCTATAGAAATACCTGGAAGAAGGGAAATGCTTTTGCCTGGCAAAAAGATTCATTTTCTCAAATGTGGCAATATTCACAGGTAGCTCTTTTCCAGTGTGAGGAAACCCCACTCTCCCAGTGAAGCAGAAGCCGCTCTGCCCCTAAGAGAGTTCCAAAAGTCGTTACTCATTTATAAATTTTAATGTAGCAGAAAGGGAAATAATTATGACTGAAGAAGGATATATAAAATCTAGCTTTAGCTTTAATTAAGTGTAGATGGAAATGAAATGAATCAAAACTGGAATGTTTGCCCTACCTGCCATTGTTTTCTGGCACATCCCCTTGAATGACTTTCAGAAGCAAAAGACTCCTGTTCGTCACTTAACAGCTGCCTGTTGAGAAGCCTTCTCATAGAATCACACAGTTGGGAGAGACCCTAGTGGTCAGCTCATCCAGCTCCCTGCTTAATGTAGGATCTACTAGAGCACCTCTTTTTTTTTTAATTTATTTTTTATTGCTTTTAAAATAATACAAATAAAGAAAAAGAAAAAAATAGAACACAAAGATCATTGTAATGCAGATACATACATTCTCAAAACAACAACAACAACACTTTAAAAGTGCTTTTATAAAAAAGTGAAAAAAGAAAAAAAACAAATTGTACTATATCATGACAGCTACAGTTCTGTATCTGCTTATCTAATGTAAAGATTATTCACATGTGTCTCTAATACATTTATATAACTACCATTGTTCCTTAACCTGCTGTATTTTGTATAAATGAGTCCCATATTTCATTATATTTGTCCATAAAAAGCCTACATCTGTAGGCAATCTGCTCATAAGTGGCAAGTGCAATCAGGCCTTCCATCCACTGAGTGAATGGGACCATATATTTATCTCGGGTGTCTCCAGAGCTGAAAATGCTGCTGGTCCAAACAAAGTGGTTAATAAATGTTGTAGCTATAGATATTGTCATTGGGCTACAACAATATGATATTTATCTCTTAACATAGCGTATGTTAAAAATTCATCATCATCATCTATCAGTTGGTCCAAAGTCAGTATCCCCACTTCCGTCCAATTTTTCCTTTTCACCAACTTTTCCCCAATTTTTAAGGCTGGGTTTCCCCATAAAGTCAATTTAGCATGGGAAAAGGGGTCAAATCTCCTTTTATTAGACATTACATTCCATAACTTTCTAACTGACACAATTGTTTCCAGCGATACTAGAGTTTTAGTGTATTTTGATCCTAATACTGTCCATCCAACCAAAGGTAGTACATATGTAGCAATTCCAAAGTTGCCCAAATTGGAAAATTAACACCAATTGTTGGTTTCCAGTATTTAATACTCGACAGTAGATAAGCACGATGATGTAGCTCCAGATTCGGAAAGCCGAATCCTCCTTCATTAATTGGTAATTGCATTTTCTGTAGATATTCTAAGAATCGAAAAATCCTATAGAAATTTTCTAAACAAAGAAATTATTTTCTGACAATATTTTCCAGATATATGAACTGGGATTGCTCTCAAAATATAAATTAATCTGGGAATAATATTCATTTTGAGAGTGTTCACCTTTCCCCAAAGGGTAAGGTTTAATCTCTCCCATCTATTGATATCTGAAGAAACCTCTCTCTATATTTTATTTATATTACATGTTACTGAGATATCTTTTAGTATGCACATACCTAGATACTTAATGGATTTTGTATAAATACGGAATTGATATTCCTTAAATGGATGGTAACCAAATTTTTACCTATCGGCATCAATTCCAATGTGGACCAGTAAATAGAGTATCCTGCTATTTTACTAAAGGCATGTATTATTATTTGCATCAACGCTGGAATAGTAGTATGAGGTTTAGAAATAAAAGAATGTCAACTGCAAATAAAACCAATTTATATTCACCTGAATTATGCAGTGCTCCATAGATCTCCCTATATTGTCTATTAGCACAAGTCAAGGGTTCCACACAGATATTAATAAGCAAGGGTGAAAGTGGGCATCCTTGTCTAGTTCCTTTAAACAGTAGCAGAGAACGTGCCATTAGTCTTTACTTTATATGAGACATGGGCAACTCATATAATACCCTAATCCATTTTATGAATTCCAAAGAAAATCCAAACCTGTTTATTACGGCAAACATGTACTGTTTATATATTTTGTCAAAGGCTTTTTCAACATCTAATGATAAAATTACAAACTGATCTTTGTTTTTCTTCAAGTCAGTTAAATCTATAACTAATCTAATGTTACCTGCTGCTTGCCTAGTTTTTATAAACCCTATTTGATCATTCTTAATAACAAACAATATCACTTGCTGTAATCTATTTGCTAACACTGCTAAGTTCTTTGTATCAACAATGATCAATGAGATTGGATGATAATTAGCACACTGAGTATGATCTTTACCTGCTTCTGGTATAACTGTAATATAAGCCTGGTTAAATGCCACTGATAAAATTCCCTTATCAAATATCTCATCATACAATTGACAAAGTTTTGGTGCCAAAAGATCTATAAATGTTTTATACCACTTTATAGGGAATCCATCCAATCCTGGTGTTTTACCACCTGCTATTTTTAAAATTATTTGTTTAATCTCTACCTCAGATTGTTGTTAAGTCGTGTCTGACTCTTCGTGACCCCATGAACCACATCACGCCAGGCCTTCCTG